ATCTGCTCCACAAAAATAAGCAGCTGCAATCAAACATGGACTATGGCGCAATCGCAGTATGTACACGTATTATCACATAACCGCTATCTTTTCACATATATTAACAGAATAACACATAGAGTCCGCTATCGTGGCCCTTTGTGCTTTGACCTGTTGGGGAATGGTGACGAAGGGGAAGCTATCTGAAAATCTGTATCCCCCTCCGCTCGAATATAGACGCATCTTCCACGAAGTCTCTCCTCGTCATTGAATAAAACTGGGCGTAAGGTTACTGTAGCCCCGCAGTGTACGCAATGGCACACAGCCGCATCTGTACGAAAGAATGGCGCCCACGATCCTTCAAGGTTTTGCGCGGGAGGTTGCTTGTAGTGTGTGTTCCTGCACAGCAAGTGAGGAAATTGACGCCAAGTCGGTTCCTACACTTCATTTGGGTTTTCCAGTAAATGTTTTCGATATGTGATTCCTGCTGCATTTTTGAGCAAATACCATCTCACATATATGGAGCGCTAGTAGGCTAAGCAGTGCGTTGGGGACCCCCGCGAGAGGGGTCGCATTTGATCGGTGGAAGAATGGGGTTCATCGTTTGCCTCTGGAAAAATGTCTTCGGTGCGTTTCCCGGCTTTGTTTCGATCGCGCTAAGTGTACCCCCTCTTCGACAGTTCTGAGGGGACACTGGAAAGAGTGGAAGGGAGCTGTAGGAGAAGTTCTGGAGGATCTTCTTTTGCAAAATTTTCTGTCTGCTCTGCGAGTGTAACCCGCGGCGGCGCTAGCTGCCTGCTTCCGAATCCGGCTCCGAACTCCACCTGTGCCAGCTAGCCAGATGCCTAGCCATACCCAAACGGGAAACGGGCGAGAGAATCGTAATTTGCCGCTTCGTCGCGCGCGGCAACAGGCGCGGCGTCTCCTTAATTTGCACTACCCTTTCGATTGGAGCATCGGATTTCATGTAGACAAGGACATGGCAGACACTTATGCCTATTTTTGGTCATACATTGTCTATTCTCGCCAATATCATCTGAAGTGTCGTCCTTATTTTGTATCGACGCAAGTGCTGAACCCAAGCGGAGCTGGGAGACGGCTCTTGGGCCACCACCTTCCAGCCCCGTTCTCGTGCACTTTCGAGTGAAGGAAATGGCACGGTACAACAGCTGCCGACCCATTCGCTCAGCAAGTTGAAAAGAACGTACTCAGTGGGCCAGTTGTCTTCATAGTGTGGAGTTGGAAAACTTTATTAAGGTGGTGGGTAGGTTGTGGGAGAGGAAAGAACTTCCGAGAGTCGTTATTGACGCAGCCATTTCACCCATCCCCTGCTGTACCCTAGCTCGATGGAAGGAACGTACTTGTACGAGATAACATGGTACACAATATTTATGGCACATGTACGAAAAGGGACGTCATTATTTGAGCAAATTGGAACTTATTTCACAGATTAGTGGTTATTCCATACATAATGTGATATACTAAGACTTGCTCAACGAATTAATGAAATCTTTGTAGTGGTCTAGCACCTTTTCCACATCTTCTTCGGTAACACCCCAGTTCAGAACAATACGTACTCGCGTCGCATCAAAAGTCATCATCAGCACTCCACGGCTTTCGAAGAACTTTTGTACCTGAATATGTCAAATGGAGCTCTAATGATTAATTCCACGCTAATTGTGAGGGCGGAGTCAGGCCTAAAACTGTGCCTTTCCCATTGGTGCTTTGTCCTTCCTTACCAACGCAGGAGAGAGAGTTCCGAATTTTTTTTTTTTTGAGAGCGCGAGTTCACTTCGCAAAGAGTAGACGCGAAAATGAACAGGTCCCAATATCTGATTGTCTCCGCGCATTCTTGAAAAACCGGTACAGTCCATATCGGAGGGCAAAAAGGGCGTCTAGGTAAAGGCTCCTTACTCCTATGCCCCTTTATGATCTTTATGCATACGTCTCTGCCTCCATTCCGTCTGGACTCTCGCAACCATGGACGTCGCCGCGGCCACGCCCCTTCTTGCCCCCAGAACTGGACTGTGTTTCTAAAGAATCTTAAAAGTCGGAATGGCCCGAAATATTCATTTCTTCTGTAGTTTTCCTAGCAAAACCAACTTGTGCTGGGGATACTCCGTTGCTACATTTCAATATAACCATGTTCGTGATTCCGACATCTGAAGCTTGGATTGTCTGCAATATTTGAATTAATTCCTGCGATGAAAATCTGTTTCCCTACACAAATACCTTTTTGAGTTCATCCGGTGTTATAGCATTGATACCAGAAACAAGTTTCTGTGCGTTGGCATGATCCCTTCTAATGGTCGTCTCGGCGTTGTCAAGAGCCACATGGGCCGCGGCCGCCAGTACCCCAGCTTGTCGCCAACCACCACCCACAGCCTGAAATTTGACGCAAGCTGATAGAGGACGGTGGCGACAGCTCGTGGGCAGGTTATTGAAGATACGAATTTATGACAACACAGGTATGCACATGTTTCGGAGAAGAAAAGTGTAGAAAACCTTTCGACTCCGCCGTGCCTTGTCGATAAATGCTCTTTGATCCAACGAGTATAGAACCGACGGGTGCACCGAGACCTTTTGAAAAGCACATCATCACCGAATCAGCATATTTAGCGATGTCGGACACCTGAAAAAGCATAACATAGAGGAAGACCACAAGAGATGTGCAACAGATGGTCTTAGGAAGCCACATATTTTTAGTGATGATAACTAATCTGACCGCTTCAATTTTGTCAGGCACTGAACACGGGGCGCAAAAACGATACCAGTTTGAGGCGCTGTTTGCCGACGGAGGGGGAGGGGGGATACCAGTTTCAGGCGCTGTTTGTCGACGGAAGGGGGGGGGGGGCATTTTGCACTTTAACGACTTCCCATCGACGTGTCGACCCATCTAGACAGCCTCTTCTCGAGTTGACAGGTTTTACCATGATGGCTTGACGAGCTTGCTCCAGCTTCACAAGAGTTCACAGGTTTCACCAGAGTGAGACTTGTAAACCAGAACTAGTGAAGCAACGAAAGTGCAAAATGCCCCCCCCCCCGTCGGCAAACTGCGCCCAAGTTCAATAGTACAAGTGCTAATGGAGAAGGCTAATGTGTAGAACGACCTGACCGGGCTACCTCATGATAATGAAGAAGATTGATTATTCACCACGGTGCCCCTTCCCCGTTCCTCGGATCCCTCTGAGACAGAAAATTGAATATTATACACTCACTTATCTGTAATCTTCATATTTACTTTGTCTCCAAGTTTTCCAAGATAGTTCTAGCGATGGAAGGCGGGGGAAGGGGGAGGGGGTTGGTGTACAGTACAACGAAAAGAGTGGAAATCTCAAGCCAGCCCACTATCGCTAGGGAGCATTAGAGAGGGAAGGGCTGGATTTGGCGTTGAGCCAACCCCTTTTCCATCAGTTGTAGTCCCTTGCCAGTTCAAACAATTGATGGAGAACGGGCTGGCGCGGCGCCAAACCTAGTCCCCTGAGACGCTCTAGCATCCGCGGTGGACAAGACCATTTTGGGAGAGGTGGGGGAGGGGATGGGCAAAGCTTTCAGTTGCTGTGGTGGCATGGAGTATTTTAGGATAAGCGAAGCTGTTCCGATACCCCAACTAACGTAAAATCGGTTTTTCGCCATTTGTATTGTGTCGAATTGTATTACCAGTTACGCCTGGGAAATGGCTCGTTCAAGTAGAAACAAGTGGTCAAAACTGCTCACGGAATGGCACCCATATTTGCGAAGACGGATTGGACGACCGAAATCCCGATGGAGAGATGAGTTTAAGAAAGTGCTGATTACGTGCAATTGGCAAAATGCGGCAAGATGCATGACGAAGAAGGAATGGATTGATCTA